CACCAGAGTTAGTCATGGAGTTCCTCAGGGTTCAGTGCTTGGACCAATGCTCTTTACTTTATACAGTATGCTTCCATTAGGTAAAGTTATCAAACAACATGGGATAAATTTCCATTGAAATGCTGATGATACTCAGTTATATTTATCTATGAAACCTGATGAATCCAACCAGTTACTTAAACAACAAGCATGTCTTACAGACATAAAAACATGGATGACTCTCAATTTTCTGCTTCTAAACTCAGATAAGACAGAGGTTATGGTTTTTGGACCTGAACATCTTAGGGATCAACTTTGCATGTTGACAACGTATGTTGTGACTTAGTGCTATATAAATCAACTGAATTGAATAGAATGCCAAGAGTGTGTGAAACAGTAATCAAAGCAAAAGAAGGCTACTTTGAAGAACCTAGAATATAAGACATATTTTCAGTTGTTTCACACTTTTTTGTTAAGTATATAATTCCACGTGTTGTACTGTACTGTACACATACATGTACTGACACACACGATGTTGATTTTATTTTGAAATCAGAAGTTTCAAATAGATGACAGCAATACAGTTTCAACCATAGTATCAATGGTTCCATCTGTGTTTGGAGTTCATCTTTTTACGAATTCATTATTTTTTACTCTGACTTCCACATTTGTCACTGGATTTATCACACAATTTCCTTCCAGCACCCGCTTCCTCCTCTGTGTGTCGCACCTGAGCGGAGCTGAGGCTGTATAAATTGGGTTGCAAACGAACAGCTAAGAACTGTGCACCGCAGTGGAGCTGAGTCGCACGTAGTGTAAATCCGAGGTCAGGCCCAGCTCTGATACTACCTTGCTCGGCAGCTCAGAGGGGCATTAGAGGCGGGCTCACTTTTCTCACCTTTCCGCCTACATGTTATTTCTGAATGATCCGAGGTGGACAGAACACACATCAGTCCCAGACTGAGCTGTCTTATGAATGAGGCTATTCAGAAATGAGCAAAAGCATCATCTTTTTGTCTTTGACAATGGACGATAATAATATGAGGCATGAGTTCAAACCAAAATGTGATGAATTTTGTMCTTTTGTTATCAGCTACAGTATAGTTTATTTAAATAAAAAATGATTCAGGAATCACCATTTTTATGGTATATATTCCTAGTATTAGCTTTAAGAATAAAAGTAYACATTTTGTCAAAATTAACAGAGGAATTAGCTTTTTGGATTTCTGTTTATAAAATTTAACTGCATAAGCACATTATTCAAAATTGGTTACTGCAGTAATTTACAACTAATTTATTTAATGTATTTTGCTTTCTCATTGCAGGAATCTTCATACTCATTTGCACTGAAATGCCTTATCAGCCTTTCCACTGTTATTTTGCTTGGTCTTATAATAATGTACCACGCCCGGGAAATCCAGGTGAGTCATTTAAAAAAACAGTTTTTTATCTGATTAATATTGTCAAAGTAATAATATAAGTAGAGCAAAAGGATTTATGTAAATATGCAATGTGAATGTTGAGTGAATGACTGTTGAAATTTGTTGAAAAAGAAACTGAATTAGTATCCCATTCCTCGTCTCATTGCTGTGGATCTCACAATTATAAGATAAGATGTCATAATTTCAAGAAAATTGTCAATATTGTGAGATCCTGATCTCATAATTATGAGAAAGATGTCATATCTCATAATTATGAGAAAGATGTCATAACTACAAGATAGTTGTTAGATAAATTAATTGTCAAGACACAAGGAATGGCGACCAAGCTGCAGATCTGGTTGAACTCTCTTTTACTTGCAAGGAGTCTTAAATACAGACAAGATACTTACATACAGTTGTCATTAGCATGAACTAAATTTCTGTACAGCTGTCAAGCTTTTAAAGTGTCCCTTCCCCTCTTTGAGTGTCCTTCTGTTATACGACCATGCAATCTCCTGTTCTTCCCCAGGACCAACCTGGCTGATAGCGGGTTGTAAAAGTAGCTCTACTCTACAAGCTAAATAAACAAGTTACAAAGATAAGCATTCACATCTGTTTTTAATAGGGTTGGGTACCAAAACTCGATTCCATTATGGCACTGGGACGAACATCCACGGTGGTACACAGACCAAAACACATCTCTAATTTTGGTGCCTTATTTCGGTGCCTCAAAGAAAGCTGTTAATTTGCACCCTCTGGTGTTCAGTGTTAACAGTGACAGCCTCGGCACACAATCTCCACAGACTCTCTTGTATGCGGTTTGACTCAGCTCGGTCTCGGCCCAATGCGCCTCTCCGAACCTCTTCTCAGGTGGTTCGGGTAGAAGCGAGTACAGCTCGCTTATGATTTTAACATCAGCAGAATTCTGCTTGTGGATTAACTCTTGGATTGACTGACAGCAAATTTCGTCCTGGAGAGGGAGCTGCTTTTGTTTAGGAATACGAGCGTGCAGCGCAAAATGATGACATGGTGAAATAAAACTGTCTTTTTGGTGATCAGAAAGGCAGAACTTGTAAACACTTCCTGGAGAGAGGTGAAGGAGATGAAGCTGAGCAGATCACAGGAGGTTTCCAACAAACTGACCGCCCACAGTTACACAACCACTAAACAGCACCATGATAATAATAAGTAAGTAAGTAAGTAAGTAAGT